TCCAGTGACATGAGTCCTGAGGTCCTGACATTCACCCTCAAAATGGTGCTACAGGATGAAATCACAGCAGGTATGGGCAGAGCCAAGCACTACAGAAAGGGCACTGGACTGCTTGCTGAAGTTGCAGTGTCTAATATTAGCCACAGGTCGGATACTTTAGAAAGCCTTTCAAGAAGGACAGAGGTTGTGGGACAGCTTTCCTGCCTGTAATCCCCTGGAGCAGCACACTCAATAGCAGCTCTTTGAGGCTTGTAACCCAAATCCTGCCAGGCTGCGCAGAGAGCACAAATGGCTCTGGGATACTTAGGCCTGTACCTAAAATAGGAACAAAGCTGCTCCCATGTGCCTCCCCCCAGAGCTGGGGGAGGACTCACATGATATCTGAGAGTGCCTGTGCTGTCTGCATCTCTCCTCTTTCTGCTTCATTTACAAAGTTGTACCTTTCTCTCAAGATACTGAACTTCGGCACCAGGCAGTAAGCCACCTTCTCTGCATGCCCACGGGTGTAAGGATATCCAAGGACAACCAATTCAGGCTGATACATGGCAGGAAGAATGTGGCAGTAAGACAGTGCAGCAGCCGCCAGCAGCAGGAGAGGGTGAGTGAACTGCCATGAGCAGCGATGGGTGTGGGGTGTGGGACGTGCTGCCTCTGCACAGAGAATCTGAGGTCCCTCTGCGACCCTAAACATCAGGGTTCAGAGCCCAAATGACACCATAAGAGCAGACACCGGTGCCAGAACATTGGGGTGGGGGTGCCAGCGGGAAAGAGAGTAAGTGGAGTTGTGTCAATGGGCATCACCTGTCACTGCAGGATTTAGGGCAGAGTTCAGGTAGCAAACAGCTGCTGAGAGACAGATAAGGGGGACCCGATTAAGCCCAAACAAAAAATTCTGCATCAGGCTTGAAGAAATGAAGAAACTAAATGGCACAGAATTCAGGATTATCTAAGTGGGAAAAAGGAAAGTACATACACCAAAATATCAAGACAATGGTGTTAACAGGAAGCTGCATGTTAACTTCTTAGGCAATAGTATGATCAAAAGGAATGTCTTGAGAGGGTGTTGACCCTCAAAGAGGAGCTGATATTCCAGAAAATTCATAGAAGACATTGCTTTTACAGGAATAGCCATTGGTAAATGGAAGGAGACCTAGAAGATTTTCAAATTTTCCTAATCAAGAATGTTCTTAAAATCCCACCAGCCACTCTGCATTTCAGGGTAACTAAGATGGCAGAGACCTGTTCAAAGCACTCTGAGCACACTATCTAGGAGAGTATGTAATTTATAAAGGTCCTGTGAGTGAAACTAAGCTCTTGCTGCTGTAGTGTGCAGGCTTCGATGGCATTCACAGATCCAGGCTCTGCACCACTGGCTGATACATTCCATTCCATTCCATTCCATTCCATTCCATTCCATTCCATTCCATTCCATTCCTGCTGTACATTGTTTTTTAATTGCTAGACTCCTTCTGCTTAAGTCATGTAAAACCCAATACCCCACTGGCCACAGCCAGTGCCAAAATGATGCCACATCTGGTACCGTGAGCAAGCAGATGTGGAGGCACCCAGGTGGAGCTGGAATTCACAGCCTCTACAGAAGGAATCAACAGCAGACTTGGAACAGAGATACCTGCTTTCTGTGAAGACACTGGGGATTTATTTTAATGACCTGGCTTAGATGATGACTTGAAGACTTTAAGACTCCTCAGACTGTTAGTGTTAGTAGTGTTGGCATGAGTAATGTCACTGATTCAGAACATGAGCATTTCCAGAGAGGAGGTTTGGTGCAGTTGATCATGGTTGGGTTCCTCTTGAGAAGCATCAGTGATGTGTCAGCCATAGTATCTACCCCCTGACACCCTCATTGCCTGACCATAAACATATGCCTCACCATGATCTACAGAAAGTCAGTTTCGGAGTTTGTCTGCTAGTGATAATTCTTTCAAAACTCCCACCTTACCCTCCTCTGACAAAAAAGCCATAAAGTGATAATAGAAAGGCATGTTCGAAAGGATAGTCCTGTTAGCAAAAGCATCTTATCAAATTTCAGGTGTAAATAATTGCACGTTCTGGAACCTGTGCAGTTCCAGTTAGACACTGTCTCACAGCATCTTCTCTCAAGACCCGAGGAATTGCACTATCTCCTGAAGACAAGCCTCCCCCTTTCTTCACAAACAGGATCTATTTCAAGAGTAGATGAACCAATTCCATGAAAATGCTGTGTCCTGGTCTTGAGTTATAATGGCTTTGGGATCCTCACTAGGATGGAGAGGTGCACGAATAAGACAGTAGGATGAAGTGTTATGAGAGTCACAACTCAAGAGTGACTTAAATGCAAGAATCCGCACAAGGTGAGGTTTGTTGCAGCTGGACCAGTAAGGCTGCAATGGGCAGCAGCTCTGCCCAGATCAGTGCCACAGCAGGCACAAGCATTCGCTCACCATTGCCACACCTGAGCACATCCAGCTCTGGGGGCACCAGTGCTCAACTGCATTTGGAGTTTCATAGAATTACAGAATGGCTTGGATCGGAAAGGACCTTTAAGTCCATCTCATTCCCACCCCTGCCATGGGGCAGGGACACCTTCCACTATCCCAGGTTACTCCAAGTCATATCCAGCCTGGCCTTGGACACTTCCAGGGATGGGACAGCCGCAGCTTTCCTGGCTAAAGTTTGCCAGGCCTCACCATCCTCACGGGGAAGATTTTTTTCCCAGTATCCCATCTAAGCCTGCCCTCTGGAAGTGGGAAGCCATTCCCCCTTGTCCTGTCTCTCCACTCCCCCTTGTCCTTCCTCCTTGCCCAAAGTCCTTCCCAAGCTCCCTTGGAGCCCCTTAAGGGAGTAAAAGGGGCTCTGAGGTCTCCCTAGAGCCTTCTCCAGCCTCAATTAATTGTGCCTACCTCAGGTCCTGCTGACTGGGAGGAACTTCATTTTCCCACTCGAGGGTGCTGTTCCCATTGGCAAAGGCCACCCTTCTGCTTTTCCAGTGCCCAGCATCACATCCCAGAGCTCACAGACAAAATGGCCATCAGGCCTGCTCAGAGCTTCATTTGGACTCATTGAACAGGGTTTCAGAGGGTAACATTCTTGTGGACCCTAACTAGAAGACTTGTGTGACCTCTGAATATATTATCATCCTGTTCACAGTGGGCATCTGCTGGATAAATGATTACATTTTTATAAACCTGTGTATACTCATAAATATATTGTCATATAAATACTAACCCAGCAGGGGTTCAGCAGTCCATATTCTGAAATGATAAGTGATTTTGAAGTACCTCATATCCTAATTGTTTAATGAAGTATTGAACAAACCTGATAGGTAAGAGACTGGGTGCCCATCTTTGTCCTTCAGACTCCTTTGGATGTCTCAAGGTGCAGATCCCAAAAAACCTGGTATCTCTCATGGCTTGAAGGCAGCACTCTGCAGAGGGATTGAGTAGCAGTATTCAGCACTTGTAATTCTAGACTCACCATGATTTATGATTATGGACTGCTGAGGCATGCAGGGTTAGCACTTCTGAGCAGGGCTCTGCTCTGAGCTGCTTTGCTGTTGTGCTGCTGTGGCTCTGCGTGCTGGGGACCCTCTGGTGAGGACACAAATGGGGCCTCCTGAGTGGGAGGACTTGGATCACACCTCTGTAACTAAAAGAGTCAAAGTGAACGCAAGGGAAATGAAAGGCAAACAACACCTGAGCACCTTCCTTTGCTCCAGGGTCTTAGATGGTTTTGTTCCACCTATTGCACACACTGAAACAAGCAGACTTTTGCTTGTGGAAAGCCCAATCCCAATCCTTTGGAAGTCAGTGGGAGTTTTCGTAGTGGGCTTCAGATCAGCCCCAGAAAAACTGGCTCTATAAATATGGTCATTGCAGATCAAGCACTGTTTTAAGATGGTTTCAGTGATGCCACAAAAGGAGATACCGGATGACCACCTGCTTGTAGGTGTCCAGGTGTCCCCTGGGGCTCTGAGATGGCCAGAGTTTCCGGACAGCATTGCAAAACCAGGCCCCCAGTACTTTGTGCAACTGTGTTCTCTGATATGCTGTGGCAACCTGGCTACTGTAACCGAGACTGTTACAAGCCATCCCTTTGCCAGCAGCTGGACTGTGCATTGCCTAGTGGGAATGGAGCAGGTGGACTCAAATGGGTAATCGAGAAAACTATCAGCAAGTCACTGTGTTTGTTTTAAAATTGTTCACATTTCTGTCTGCAAAGGTATTTATAACCATGCACATCATAACCATGCTGACTACAGCTTTAGAAAAATCTGGCAAGAATAAGCTGATGGACAGCATTTCAGTGAGACAAGGGAACAGCCTTAAGTGCTCCAAGAATGCATTATAGCACAGGAACAGCAAACAGGATCTGTGCTTCCAAGGCTCGAGAGGAAGAATGACGGAGTGGAATTTTTTTTGGCCTGCGTAACACAGGACAGAATAGATCATCTCAAGGGGGTTTTTTTCCGGCCTTAAAATCTACCCAGCTGAACTGCACTGATTCCAAAGCCGTGGTCCACAGAAGGAGCACTTTCTCGGTGTTTCGACTGAAATACTATGCATTACTTTAACCCCTGTTTTCCGTGTAAAGAGCGGCTGCAATTTCGCTGAAGGAGCCTCGGGTCCCCTGCGCCGAGATCTCCCCGCTCGGCCGCCCTGAGCCGGGGCCGGGCGGGCAGGGCAGCCCCGGGAGCGGGGCCGTGCCGGGAGCGGAGCGGGGCAGCGCTGGGAGCGGAGAGGGGCACCGCGGAGCGGAGAGGGGCCGGACCGGGAGCAGAGTAGAGCGGAGAGGGCCGTGCCGGGAGCGGAGCTGAGCGGAGCAGAGCGGGGCCGTGCCGGGAGCGGAGCTGAGCGGAGCAGAGAGGGGCCGTGCCGGGAGCGGAGCTGAGCGGAGAGGGCGGAGCGGGGCAGCACCGCGGAGCGGAGCGGAGCGGAGCAGAGCGGGGCCGTGCCGGGAGCGGAGCGGGGCAGCGCCGGTCGCGGGCAGTGCCGGGCCCGCCGCCGGCTGCTCCCCCGGGCGCGCAGGGGCCGCTGGCGGGGCCCGGGCCGGAGGTGAGCGGGTGAACGCGGGTGAGAACGGGCGAGGGCCGGGGGAGCCGCGGGGCTGCGGGGCCGGGAGCGCTCAGCCCGCGGCGGGCACGGGAGCGTCGCTTTTACCCCTGATTTGGGGAAGATTTTCTTGCTAGCAATGAAAACTGTTCTCAGAGAAAAGGACGGCAAAGCTGGGCAGGAGGCTGAGATACTTCGTTTGTGATTTGAATTGGTTTTAGGAAGATTTGTGTAATGCCAAAATTCAAGTAGGATAACGAGAAAAAAAAAAAAAACAACCAAGAAAACCAACCCTAATTTTAGACTGGAGTTGCCGAAAACCTCAAATCAGATACTTGACAGCAAATTCCACTTCTGGAATCGTTTAAAACCTGACCAGCTGGTAGGTTTTAGGAGGTAATGGCAATGAGATAAGAGCAAAGTCAGGTGTCACGGTATGAGGTGAGTGTTTCTGGAGCAGACCGGTGTTAATTTGCAGTCTGACAGCTGAATTTTAGCTCACCAGATTGGAAAATGCATCTTTATCTATATCAGTTTATCATCATGTAAAGGTATTCCTTCTTTTGAAAATGTAATATGGAGTTTTGTGAGATAAGTTTTGCCCAAGTCAGATGGAAGATGTGTGTGAGAGGACGCACGTGGTGAAGTTTGTCCTCAGAAGGAATCTACCTCTCCTTCAGCCAACAGTGAGAACTGGGGTGAGGTGTGTGACTCGGCTGGCGACTGATGAATCTACAAGCTCAGGTTTATCAAGATAGCCATGAGGTTTGAAAATGCAGAGGAATTTTTTCTGTATTTCTGTTTAAAAGAAAAAAAAAGGACAAAACTTTTTTTTTACCTGGGAGTTGTACACTGAAAGATAAGACTGTGAGATGCTTATGTTCAGAGCAGCAAAGAAGCTGCCAAAATGGAAAAATGCAGCCAAAAGAGCTTTTTACTGAGAATCAAAGCTGCTGAGGCTTATTAGCTGTTAAAATCTGTTGAAATTTGCATATAATATTAATTTTCTTAATCTAATCCCCATCTAATTTCAGAGTTATATTAAGGAGATAAAGCAGAGTAGAGACTTCACAGCTTGACAACTGCTTCCAGACAGGAAGGAGGGTAAACACCTACAATGAAAAATTATTATTGTCCTTTTCTTTTGTTATAGTCTACCAAAATCCACAGAAATGGCTTTGTTTTGCTGTCTGTCACACCAGTAACTACAAGAGACTTGGCCCCTCTGTTCACAAGTGGCAAAGATTAGATTCATGCTGCCAGCCTTTCATGTTGGGCTGAAGGATTTCAGCTTTAATAAAAATGAAAATCTCATCTGAGTTGGTGTCCTTTTCCCATGTTGTTGGACAGTGTCTGGGAAGCCCCTGCATTGCCAAATGAGGCACAAGTGGTGCTTGAGGATGTCCCAGCTCTCTGCTCTTGCTTCCCAACCTGCCTGAACTCCAAAGGCTCACGGTTGTGTACCCATGCAGGCATCCTCACAGGCTTCCACGTTCAGTTTCCTGGTCTCTGCCTTTCTGTTGAAATAAAGAAGGCTTCTTTTTAAAGCTTCTCCTCGTGATGGAGTTTTTTCCTTCACTTCCTGAGGTCACCAGATTGATGGAGCGCATTTCCAGTGGGTTTTTAAACACCACTTACAGTTTCTGATGTCCTTTTGAATGCAGAACTTAAATGATGTCTGATCTGAAGGACAGCATGAGCTCTGGAAAGTCAATATCTTGACAACATCCAATCTTTTATAAACCTGGCAGTGTCCAATAAACACAAAAATAACTAATTCAGGCATTCCTGCAATTTAAATTTTTTCTAACAGGCAGCTAATGAGAATCCTTGATCATAATTCATGAGCCCAAGAAGGCTCAAGAAGCTCCTTGATCATATTCATGAGCCCAAGAAGGCTCAGGAAAGTCCAATTGCTTTCTGTTCTTTGAGATACAAAACAAGAAAATTGATACTGTTTATCTAAATTGTATTTTCTATTTTAGCTCTAGCTTTTATAAAACCCTAGACTCTTCCCTGCAGAGCTCTTTGGGGGAAGTTGCTTTCAGGCTCATAGAGTTATCCAAATTTTTCTTTTCTGACATGTTTATGGCAGAGAACAATACTTTGCAGGGCAGGGAAGGAAGTGAAAGCCTTTGTAGATCACTTATTTTAGCATTATTCTAGGAAGTGGCTTATGTGGGCTCAATATACAGAAGTCAAACTGCAGAGCTGCTAATTCTGCTTGTGAAAAGTGATTGTGGTAAAGGAGTGTTTAGTCAATATAGCTACAGATGACAAGGCTCCGGCCATCTGGGTGCATGCCTGTTGCAGAATGAGCCATTTGTTGGGGATGAGTTATTTGTTGGGTGCAGGGAAAACTCAGACACTCAATATGAGATCAGCAAGCTCCATTTATTGAAGAGAGCATCAGACACTTATACAGCAAGTAATAAGTTCATGAATATTCTGTAATTTACACCGTCTATTGGCCACACCACAACATCAGCTCTTCCCCATTCCTTTTCTCATGTCTCTTTCACTTTTTGTTATCATACTACAGCTAGGTCTAAAGACACGCTATCTTGCAAGTGCAAGACTTAGAATTAGCTACAACCTTATACTTTTCTAATTCTTGGCTACTCTCCCAACACACACCTGAGCTTGGTCTCCTTTTCTTCCAAGGCAGTTCCAAGGTACAAGTCCATGGGACTTCTCTTTTTGGAGAGCACTGTGCACAGCACTGGTACACGAGTTGGGTTTGTGAGCAGTGTTGCATCACAGCTGAGCTGCAGCAGCTGGGTTCTCACCTGCCAAGGTCAGGATGATTTGTCCAGACTTTGGAAGCAGTGGCTGTAAATGAAAGATCCCTCAGCGAATCTTTGGATCCTAATTCATAGCAAATTTCTCTGCAGGAGGGTAAAATGCAGCTAGAATATTATTGTACACTACTTTTTCAGGTCTAAGATGAGTAGGGGATCATTCTTTAAGCTTGTTACTCACTCCTGAGAGAAATAGGAGAAAAATACAGGCATGGTGTTTGGTGTGATATGATCCAGAGGGTCCCTCAGTTGTGTATGTGCACCCAGAAATTGCTTGGGGGTGCATCTGTCACATATTTAAGTTTAATTTTCTGGTGGGGTTTTTTGTGTGTGTGTTTTGGGTTTTTTGTTTGTTTGTTTGGTTTTTTTTTTTTTGGTTTTTTGTTTGTCTTTTTGTTGTTGTTGTTGGTTTTTGTTTGGTTGAGTTTTTTGGGTTTTTTAGGTTCCTTTTGCAAAGGTCAGTAAGGATTCGGTGACATGAATGCTGACATTTCCAGGTGTGATGTAGCAGATGGGTGTTTGGAGCTCAGCAGAGGTGCAGTTTCATTGGCTTGAGCTGCATTCCTGCAGAGAGAGGTGCCACCTTTGCCAGGTCAAGGCCACTTCCCATTTCCCCTTACACCTTGCTTTGAGCCTGCACTAATGATTTTGCAGCCAGGAGGTGAATTGCACTGAGGAACTGGCACGGGGTAAAATCACCCCCAAGTGATAAAAACAGAAAAAGTTTGGTTTAAACCCAAATCTTTTCCTCAAGCTGGTTCTGTGTGAAGCCTCACAGATGCTGTGCTGAGCGTGGCGGGTGGTGCAGTGATGGGGCAGGGCTGGCCAGGTCCAGGCTTTGATGGCTCTGCGGGTTTACACTGGCTCTCAGTTGTGAGGAGCCTCTCTCAGCAGGGGCATCTTCATGCTGGAAAGAGCAGCAGTTTCATTTTAAGGACTGAAGTGGGTCTCTCCACCCACTGATACAATCTTAAAGGAAGCACATCTGTTTCTTTTCCCACTGTGGTCCTCCAGTCTTAGGCTTTGTTCAGGTGAAAACAAACTTAGAAGAAAGGAGATTGTAGAACATGAAAGAGCTGACATGCACAAGTTAGAACAAATAGTCCATCTTGATTTCCTGTACTGTAGGGTGTAAGTAACATGTACTTGTTCTTTGAAATGCTGAGTCATTATATCACAGCATTTTCTGAAAAATCACATTTGTTTAATACATTTAGGCTCATTGGATATATCCAGACATTACTATGACACAAGTCCACACTAAAATCCAGTGGGGGTGCAGCTGAACTGAGGGGCATGCAGTTTTGAGCTGACTCCACTTTAGCTGTGAATTTAGAGCCTGCTGATAAGAACAAAAGTGCCATGAGATTTCTGGAGTCAGAATTGTTTATTGTGCTCTGTGTTTTATATCCTGCTTGTATTTCTAAAGTCTGTTCCAGGTTTCTTCCCTGTGGGAGAAAAGCCACGCTTTCATGTAAAGCAAAAGGAGAAGTCAAAAGGCTTACTTAAAAATAGATTGCTCTTGAGGAAGCCAAAATCTTGTAATTATTTCTTACTAGTAAAATTAATTATCCTCATTCCAGTTAATATTGGGATATTGAACACTTGAGTGGCATCTGTTGCAGGTGTAGAGTTTGCACATTTCCAGCACAGTTTCATTGCAATGCCACACACTGCAGGTTCTGTTGTAAAAGCTGGAGCTCAGGGAGCCCCTAGACCTGGAGTGCACCTGAGAGGAGCTGTAGGGGAACCTCTGCCAGGAGCTGGGCACAGCCCTGGAATGCCCAGTGCAGGTTCTGGCTCTGGAGGAGTTCCAGGAGCTGCTGCCAGCCCAGGCTGGGCCTCTGTGAGCTGCCATGGAGGGCTGAGGATGCAAAGTGTTGTTCTCCACTGGATGCACCCTGGCCACCACAGCTCCTGTCCTTGGGCCTGCTTTGGTGTGACTCAGAGCTCCTGGTGCCGCACACTGACCTGGCTGTGGGGCGCTTCTCACCTTAACTAGGTGTCTGCAAGTCTGTCCTGTGCCCCTAGCCACCGTCCTCATTCAAATCAAGGTTTGCATTTTATTGTGGGTCTCTGCTATATGCATGTATTCACCTTTAGTGTATCTGTATCGAAGGTTTCATATTTAATTCTACTGGCATTCTATAGCAGGTTCTTCTTAAGTAAAAAGAAAAAAAACTCATCATTTTCCCAGTTTTG